GTCCACCATATATGAAAATATGTAGCATCAAGAGAACCACATCTCCAGCATTTAGGCTGAAAATTCGGATACATAGAAGCAAGCTTTTTGGGATCTAAATGCCATCTATAAAACATCTTGTAAAAATTTTCTCTCAGATTTTGTGCTTGTGTAAATTTTACATTTCTTACCCAAATTCTTTCCCATGTGTCCAGCATTATTGGTTCCTCAATATTCTGAGCCCATTTTATGCAATTGTTATAAATATGAATCAGTTGTCAAGCATCTGAATGTAAATCACGTGACCATGGGGAGTCTGAAGTCTGAAAAATGGCCATGTCACTTTTTTCAGTCCTATTGTAACTTTGAATGGTCACTAAGTGAACTGTTGTAAGTCGAGGATTATCTATATTGCTAAGAGATGGTGGGAGATTTCCCAAGCATGTACTGTATAGGAAGTTACCAAGTGACTGAGCTATTTTAACTAGTCCTGTACCTGCAGAGATTTTAATTAGCTATCATTTTGCATCTGATCAGGGATTGATTTCCCTTGAAAACAGCTGCATGGATCTCCTGCAGATGTATAGCTGTACTTGAAAAGAAAACTAAATTTAGTCTCTTCCCTGCTTGATGTGTAGGACCAAATATTTTTTTTGGGCTCATGATTGAACACACTGAAATCTTCCAGGCAAGCAGTTCAGATTCATATTATAACAGCACATACACATTTACCATATTTTTGGGAGTATAAGATGCACCCTTTTCCCCCTTAAAAGAGGGTGAAAATTTGAGTGCGCCTTATACACTCAATGTAACCCTGCCCACCTACCCAACCACCAGTCCCCACCCTTTGGCCTCTGCCTTCCAGCAATTTACCTCCTTGCGGCAAATGGGAAAATAGGGCTTGTTACAGCAATAGGCTATGGCAATCCCTGCAGCCAGAAACAGCTGATCACCGGGAGGCCCTGCTGAAATTGAAAGTGAAACTTGCTGTTTGCTGCAAGGAGGCAAATTGCTGGGAAGCGGAGGCAGTTTTTTTTCTTCTAATCAGACTAGACTGAACCAGTCTATTTGTTGTTTGCTGCAAGGAGGTAAGTCAATAACTATAAATGCCTATATAATGTTCAAATTATTAGACTTATTTTTTAAATACTGCTTTATTATTGTTCTGGACAACTTAACAAAAAGAAGAAGCTTTTTAAAATAAATGCTTGATCTGAAGAGGCCCAGTGCTATTGCATATTCTTTTAAATAGCTTAGAATAATGTATACTTCCAGAAANTTTTACAAGTTGGCCACGCCCACCCAGTCACATGGCTGGCAAGCCACGCCCACCAAGTCACATGGCTGGCAAGCCACGCCCACAAAGCAGGCCACACCTACAGAAGAGGTTCTAAAAAATTTTGAAACCCACCACTGGTTCAAAGTTACAACATTGAAAACACTGAAAAAAGTGACTTGTGATCATTTTTCTCACTTACAACCATTGCTGTATCCTCATAGTCACCTGATAAGAATTCAGATGCTGGGCAACTGGCTCATACTTATGACTGTTGCAGTGTCCTGGCGGGGTGTGTTTGTGTCATCTGACAAACAAAATGGGGAAGCTGGTTTCAATTAACCAGCCTGTTAGTAACTAACAACTGCAGTCATTCACTTAACAGCTATGACAAGAAAGTAAGTAAAACGGGGCGACATTCACTTAACAACTATCTCACTTAGCAATGGAAATTTTGGGTTCATTTGTGGTTGTACGTTAAGGACTACCTGTATTTAGTATTAATTTGTACTACTTTCCACCATTTTTGACGCTGCAGAAGAGTATTCAGGTAATCCTTGGAGAAGAGTGGTACATAGTTAGGATTGGAATTTCTGTTGGTAAGGAATGCAGATATAAAGCATAGGGACACACGATTGTGTTGCTTAGCAATGGCAATGCCCTACAATCAGACGTGGTATTCAGCCAGTTCTCTCCTGTTCGGGCGAAGCTCCGCCCACCCACCCTGATGTAATGCATGAGAATTGCGCATGCGCACAAGGTGGCGTATGCACAGGTGCAGCATGCCGTGAGAGTGAAGCGAAGGTGAGCGCGCTCACATTTGCGAACTGATAGGGAAGGTAAGTGAATCCCACCGCTGCCTACAATCCCCATTTGCTACCCTTGAGCAAGATTTGCAATTTCCTGTTGGCTTCTAATAAATTAGTGAGAAGTTGCAAGTCTCATGCGGCTCACAAGCAAGCTGACAGGCAACCTACTCGGGAAGGCTGCATAGAGAACTATAAATGGCAGCATGGTGTTCTGACCCAGCTCCCAAACATGACAAGCCCTTTGCATTTAATGAAACATTCCCTCTATTAGGAGCTCCAGCAGCCGCTCTCTCACAGCAGGCTATGAAGTCTCTAAGTCCTGCGGAAAGTGATGCTCGCTCCCTTTCCTCGTGAAATGGCCTCAGTACACCAGGAGTCTCTCTCTCTTCCCATGCTTGCAAAGGGAGTCCTTTGCAAGGTGTGCTCACTTTTTTTTAGCAGCACACACACACACACACACACACACACACACACACACACACACACACACACACACAC